GGTTCAATCCCAACCAGACGGAGCATGAAATTTAAGATTGTTTTTTTTTATTCTTAATTATGAAAATGTTTGGGTTTAACATTTAAACCGAATTGTTTAAATTCTAAACCCAACATATGTGCTCTCTTTTTTTAAACTTGGAAGGTTTGTATTTGAAACTGAATTTAGTTTGGTCATATATGTAGTCCAAAAAGTTTAAAATTAAAACCGAAATTTTTAACCGTGTACTTTTTGCTGTTACTCACATTTTACTCTCACGTCAGAGAGTGATTTTGCTGTTTGACCTTTTTCCAGGATTTTACACGAAAAGTATTGGATCAGAGCTATTATATCATCCATACATATGCATATTATGCATACATATATTCATGTATGTTCATCAGTTATCAACGGTCCCAGTTAAAATGATTTCAGTATTTTTGTAAATTTTCGCCTTGCTCTTTTATCAAAATAGACTACTAAACCTATGCCTAAAACCATCTACGAATATCAAAACCAGGGCATGAATCACGTATGACGACAATCGTCTGAACGATATCGTGTCGATATTGTCTTGCTTCATAAAAATCAAAAATTGTTTGATCGTTTGTGCGATATCGTCAACTCGATTCCAGTTTTGCTTCACGTAACAGCAGCAGTAACACGTAACAGCACCACAAATGCATAAATCAGTGTTTGGACAACATCGTTTTGTCAGTATCGTTTGAACGACTATCGTTTCAAAGTTACGTGATTCATGTCCAGTTGCAACAAATGAGTCCATACATATTTATGTACATACATACATAGGTATAAAGCCGTATGCATGTGCGGAGTTTAAATAATCGGAAGTAATAATCAATTGTAGCGCATTTCCTCTTACTATGCATATGCCTAAATGTATGCAACCATTTATAATAGCAAAGAAACAAAACACAGGGTGCTTCTAATGAAAATAAAAATTGTATGCTGAAATACACATGCTAAGCCCTTCGAAATTTTAGGCTGCGATATGCGTTACAGCTTCGCAAATGTTACCCCTACCGAAACCAAAGATGTATACACATCAAAAAATCTTGCGTTTAGTTACATTTTTCAATTATCTCAGCAAATCTAAAGTTTGATATTAATTGTGCTGGCCAAAGCAGAGAAAAATACAAAAAACCCTTTCCTGTAAAATTTGGTTTTTGTAACATAGGATAATTTTGCGAAAAGGGGTCACCTGATTTTTGGGGTAACCTGATTTTTGCTAATAAACCAGCGAAAATTATGTGACCGAATAAAAACTGTCATGCGAAAGTTCGAAATAATTGAGCATTGCCCATATACGTTTATTTGAAAAACGATTTTCGGACTTGGGCCAATTTCCAACAAATTTGCACTAGCAGAATGGTAGTACCTTTGTGAATACCCTATTCATGCTTGAAGGCAACTGTGCACAATCAACCATAGTCATTATTGCACACAAAAATGTTTAACACGAAATATTTTACTTTAAATATTACATCCACTTCAATAACTAAAACTAAAAGTTGAAATAATTTGTCCGGATTTAAGAGTAGCGCGTATAGCCTATATTCGATATAAAAAAATAAAATTTTGCATTTTAGGCTCAGAAGGGTATGTACGAGTACCTTGCAAAAGTATGCCGCGTGTTGCATTTTTATACGCTTAAAAATAATGCTTTGGCCAGAAAAGTAAAGCGTTTTACCCATAGTGGTTCGATAGGAATATTTGTTTCATCAACGATATTTTCAAGTAAAAGTTCTTACCACTATTTGTTAGCATAACACTACCTTTTCACATTAATACATTTATTAGTTGCCAACGTATGCTACCAACGCCTTTTTCTTTGTTTAGTTTTAAAAATTAATAAACAAAGGGTTATTTATTCTATAATAACGAAATGAGATTAGTGTAGCTAAAGACAAAATACAAAATAAATAGTAAATAAAATATATTTGTTTAATAAAACTACCACAACAAAAAACGAAATAAATGCAAACAAGTGTTACGAAAAAACAAACAATACTAAAGAAACTTTTGACACAACAATTTAGAAAATACTTCAAATTGATAGTTTAAAAAAATTATTTCTAAAAATTTTAAATACAATTTACATGTGAGTGGGTCGAAGCTTGTCTGCGATTGAGATGGGCTCTGAGGCCTCGGGGGCGAAGGGGTCCATTGTGATTCTATAATAAAAAAAGAAAAAACCAAAAGTAATAAGTGGTTAAGTGAATAAAATAAAAAGTGCATAATAATATGGGCCAAAAGTAAAACATAAATAATTAGTAGATGTCTAAATTCGCATGGCACCAAATAAAGAAAAGTAGTGGAAGGACAGTGAGGGGCAGAAGAGGTACAGTTTTTAGTAACCATATACATGTCTATGGTTAAAAGCAGTAACCGTTTAAGTCGAGAAGTTGCATTGGCGATTAGTTGAATCAAAAGTTGAACTAAAGTAGGCAGCTGACCAACTTCATTGAAAGAGATTAGCTTCAACTAAAAGTTGCCTGTAAAATCGCCTCATATGAATTCCCTATTACTTCCCAGTAGAAATCGGTTGTATGCATTCTTGAAGGACGCTTGCTATATGAGTGAATTAGTGTGAACAATTCATGCGTAGTCATGAATTTCCACGAATAAATTAAAATTGTAGCGAATTGCAAGCGAATGTACGTTGTCGTTGTTTTAAGTACATTTCTTGATAAATTTGAAGTGGAATATTTTCAGTCTTGTACAAATATTTTAGTGAACGGACGTGTTGTGCGATACTATTTTCCGCACAAACGGGCTTTTACAAGATATGCATTTGCATATGTAAGTGCTACTTTTTTGTATGTCCCCGTATATTAAAATGTATCAGAGAAATAGCATTTACATATAGGGATACATATCTTGTAAGAATTCTTTAATACTATTCCATTAATGCATTTTTGTATGTTTGAAACATTAATACAGCCATATGCATACACCAGTAGTACAAGTGTATGGTTAGAGTACGCATACGCTCTGAGAAACCACGCGTGTTAAATGGAATTGAACGTTCATTTATACTGGCATGTATACACAGCAGCAAGCTCATGCCACTAACAGCAATGTCTTATGCATCAAATTTCTACTGGGTATCGTAAGACGCACGAAGACGATTTTATCTCTATTTCTACGAAGAAGTGTTTTTTCTCATATAAAATACGTGGAAAACTTCATGGTGTGGTAGAGCCCTCAAAATGACACACAACTCTGACTTTTTTTACATTTTTCTCAACATGTGTAAAATTACGCAAATTTCGATACCTCTTGCGATAGTGTAGCTCAAAAAATTTTTTGATGGGACACCCTAATGTACACTGCCGGAACAAAGTATTGGCACAGAAAATTTTTCCCAATATATGCAACAATTTGTGTTCTAATATTTTCCGCAAATTTTCTATACAAATATGGTTCATTCTTCAACAAAAAAACATAAAAATATAATTCCTAAACTTTGTGCAAAACTCGCGAAAACTCAGGAAATTTTCATCAAAATTTTCAACTTTTTAATCAGATTTTTTATAATTTTTTTGAGTATGCAGTTTTGCAGCCCATTAAATTCTAGTAAAAAAATGCACGTTCGGAGTTAGTCAAAAATCGCGTTGATTTTTAAAATTATTTTTTTTTTTTTGTTGAAGGTGTTGCATTTTTTTCATTAAAGTATTTTCGAAAAAAAAAATTTGTATGGAAGAGACTGCGTGAAAAAAATTGGCAAAAATCAACGGTAATTCCTAGCTACTTAAAACTTGCACTTTATTATAATAAAATTGATTGGGCTATAAATCTGCATACTCAAATTCAAATAATTCTAAAAACTCTGATTAAAACGTTGAAAAATTTCATGAAAATTTGCTGAATTTTCGAGAGTTTTGCACAAAGTTTAGGAATTATATTTTTGTGTTTTTTGTTGTTGAATGAACCATATTTTTATACAAAATTGGCGGAAAAATATTAGAATAAAAATTGTTGCATATATTGTGAAAAATTTCCTGTGCCAATACTTTGTTCCGGCAGTGTATATTTTAATTATATATTAATTTAGAATTGAATTTTTACTTAAAAGCCAACATTATTAGTTAAGAATATCCCAACGGACTTTGCGGTTTTATGCTATAACAAGTGCAATTTATAAAATATAGCGTTAATTTTTTTAAAATTTTGGTTACAAACGGTCTTGCGCATTTTATTATACAAAAAATTCACGTCCGCCGCGCTAGCTGACCCACTTCTCCAAAAAATTATAAAAATTACTCAGGAATTAGGTGCAATTTAGGGCCTCCAAAATTAATTTAAGTGCTCACTCGGTTTCCGAGAAAATTGCGTGACCCACCCACTAAACTTCGTCGAACTTTGTTAATTATTAAAAACTCAGTGAGAGGGGAGACCAGTATGTTTGCATGTATGTATATAAAAAAATATTTATTGGACCAAAAAGTAGTGGGTAGGCACTGTGGCCAATGGTAATCAACTATTACCACCTCCGCATGGTTGTAAGCCATGCAGAGTCCGCAGAATGCTCCGGAAGCAGTGTCCGGAGGATGCATCCGACTAGGCAGAGCATACTTTGAACTGCCATCAAATTATAACTTAAGAAAGTTTTATTACATGGCAGTTGAGAAGTGCATGTACATAAATTTCATTAATTTAATGAAGGAAATTTTTGCACATGCAGCAGTACATAGCATGCATTTAGGCGCCTGGTGTTAGCAGTCGCGTCTAAACAATTATTATTCAGGGATTAGGTGCAATTTAGGTGCAAAGTTTGCAATTTTCTCGGAAACCGAGTGAGCACTTAAATTAATTTTGGAGGCCCTAAATTGCATCTAATTCCTGAGTAATTTTTATAATTTTTTGTAGAAGTGGGTCAGATAGCGCGGCGGACGTAAGAAATTTCCTTTTATATGGTAAAAAGTGCAAAAAGCAGTCAGCAATAAAAAATCGTTAAAAATCAACGCGATTTGTTAGTCGCTTAAAAGTTACACTTGTTTCATGTCAAACTTCTTTCTCAGAAGTGCTAGAATTTTTTTCAGTACACAGTTTTATAGCGTTTTCGTTTCTACCAAAGAAAGGTTACCTTCTCTTTGCCTTCTACGCACAAATACAAAGAAGAGGGCAATGAGAAGGCAACATTTTTTGTAGAAACGAAAGCGCCATTAGTCTAATAATGTGCAAGTTTACTTTCGCTAAGGTGTTGCGGGTTTCTTCCATATACAAATAAATTGTGTTTATTCGTTATATTGAAGCGAATGCGACAAAAACAAATTCTAAAAAATCAACGATAATTTTTAGCCAATTGAAACTTGCACATTATTAAGACTAAAATTGAATGGGCATAAAACTGTGTACTCAAAAAAATTCTAGCACTTCTGAGAAAAAAGTTTGGAATTTGGGTGAACATTTTTTTCATTTTTTTGTAGTTTTTTAGTTTTTAACCAACTTCAAAAAAAGGAGAAAGGTTATCAATTCGTGGGAATGTTTTTTTTTATTAGGTATCAGATTTCTATAATTTTTTTTTAAAGGCTACCTCAAAGGCGGTCCCATATTAATATGGTTTAAATCCGATCATCGGATCATGAAGAAATTATATATTATTATATGAAAATTGAAACCGGTTTTGTTATTTGCTTAAAAATTACTTGTAAACATTTTTTATATGAGTTCTGTTAGGCCCTGAGCACATTTGTCGTCGCGTCATGACGAGACGAGTACATGACGAACAAGACTTCTGCCTACTTGTCAACACATTGAGTTTTCTTTCAAGTTTTCATACAAAATAAATATATATAAAATAAAATTTTTAAGTGCGACGCCATCATCATCTTCCAGCGAGGGCGAGAATTTGGCAATGATCCCAGCCCTTTACGTGCGACGCCGCCAAATGAAAAGATGCAGAAGATACTGGGTGCATTCCTACATAAAAAATAATCCCAAAAACGCCTCTATATTGCCGCGCTAGAACTTTCAGAAAATGATTGCAAGTTCCAGTCATTCTACAGAATGCCCAAGAGTATGTTTTTGACCTTTGAATCAAATGTGGGTCCAAATATTCAAAAACAAAACATCGTTCAGTCGCCGAGCTGTGAAGACGAGTTTTTTACCGCGCTCTTGTGAAATTCGGAAATTTAATAAATTCGTAATATGACCGACTCCTGCGGTAAATGCGAAAGGCGGTTTGCAAGAAATTACTCTAACATAGTGCCTTGTAGTGGATTTTGTAATCTGCGTTTCCATCGCTGCTGCTGTTAAGGCCCGGTCACTGACTATGATCTTGGAGTGATTAATCTCAATCGCCATATTTGCTATTTGTGCTCTACGTGTATAAATACATCTACGTAAATCGATTTGCCAAGCTTTCGATTCGGCTCTAAACATGCCAAAGCAAAGCACATGAGCAATATATAATACACCGCATCTGATATATTATTCGAACCACTCAGGCTACTATACGCAAAACAAAACAGAAACCCTGCAACTACCATAAACAATGAAATGCAGGTCCAAACTACAGATACAAAAAGAAAGAAAATAACTGATTTTTACCTACCTGCGAATCCATGCAACAATTAATCAAAAAAGAGGTGAGCAGCTAATTTCTACCTGAGGATGTACACACAGAACTGAAACTACTGGTTGAACGAAAGAATATAATCCGCTGAGACGTACCTAACTATGAACCAACGACGATTTAACACGGATATAAATAGTAACAGAAACTATTCAGAACGAAAAATGACACTGAAGATGGCACAACGCACAGTGTTGCGAAACCGGAATTTTTTTGGAAATCATATTGCCTAAACTGTAATTTTAATTGTATCGATGAGAAACTTCTACAGATTGGTCAGAATGAAATCCCAAACAGAATGAGTGAAAAAAAAATTTACACCGAAAAAAATTGTTGGGTCAAATTTTCAACAAAAGTCAAAAAAAAAAAAAAATTGTTCGAAAAATTTACAAAAAAAATTTATTTTAATTGTTCTTTTATTTCTGATAAATACCCTATGATTAGTTTTTTAAATGAACTATAGGGTGGTCCGAACAAGAATTATAAACGTCAAATTTTCATGATTTTTCGATATTTGTTGAAAAACTCTGAAATTTTATATAAAACAAAAATCTATTTCATTTCTTATTTGAAAGGTGGCAGTAAAAGCTTTAATTTGATACCGGTGAAGTCAATAGCTTCAGTTTAAGAGAGTTATGCTCATTTTTGTGGAGTGCTAGAATAGATGTAGAAT